TGTCTGCTGTTGGATCTCTGTATATTATTCTTTATTTCAGTCAGTGTATGCTTAATTTCTGATTGGTCCTTTTTCATATCCTTGAGGGTCTCACTAAATTTCTTGGAGGTTTCCAGAAGATTCTTGAGTACCCTTATAACCGTGGTTTTGAACTCTATATCCAGTAGTTTGCTTTCCTCCATTTCTTTCATTCATGACATGTTTCTTTGTCTCCACATTTTGGCTGCTTCCCTGTGTTGATAGAGTGGCCTTGTGTGGTAGGTGTCCTATAGGACCCACTGTCTCTGCCTCCCCAGTCACCTGAGGTGGACACTCTAGTTACACCTGTTTGTGGGCTGGGTACACAGTCTTGTTGTAGTTAAACCTTGATTGCTGTTGGTGTCACTGGGAGGAATTGACCTCCAGGCCAATTGGCTGTGAGGACCAGTTGTGTCTACAATGGAAGAACTGCTGTGCTGGAGACACCCTTATGGGGCAGGACTTGCTTCAGTGGGGCTTTGGTGCTCACTGAGTCTGCCTCTTCAGTGTGTTGCTTATGGATGTGAGGAGTTGAAATCTGGTATCGTCTCACACTGACCACAGGGTACACTGGCTCTTGGATCTCCAAGGAGGTGCAAAGTCAGCCACTGCCTGAGGCCAGCCAGCAAGAGCTACAGAGAGATCTGCAGATTCCTCCTCTTTGTTTGGACCTGTCTTCTTTTGTTAGTTTTTATGCTGCGAAAGGACGGACCATTCATATGCAAAAGCCACTGTGCACAGCTTGGGTGGGGTTGTAAATTGGGTGGGGAGGGGTCTCTGGGAATCACCAGGGTGGAGCAAACAGCAGTGGCTGTCAGTCAGCCCTGCATCAGAGAGGTCCCCATGTCTCCGTGCTCCGCGCCTCTGCGCAGGAACAATGATCGCTGTGAGCACCTCTGAGAGAAAGCCACCCTCATGTTCCGGCCCGATGCCAGACAGTCCAGTTTCTCCCTGTATGAGTCTGGGTCCCCAGAGTCTCACCTGGAACTGGAGTTCAGAGCAATCAGAAGCTGGTATTTCCCTCCTGATTGAAATAAAACAATAGTGCACCCAGTTGCCAGCCCGTTTTGCAAGTGTCTCCACACCTCCACACCTCTTACCAGTCTCAATGCGCTTTTTTTCTTTCCTTCTAGTTGTAGAACTTCCACTCAGCCAGTGGTTTTGGATGATTGATGTTTTGTCTTTTAGTTGTAGTTTTGATGTGGTTGTGAGAGGCAGCAAGTGCAGGTGTTTACCTATGCTGCCAACTTGGTTCTTCTTCCAGGGGAGGGCAGTTGGGGGTGATCAGGCTGGCAGGCAGAAGCAGTTACGGGCAATCAGGCAGGCAGGCAGGTGAGCGGTTAGGAGCCAGTGGTCCCAGATTGTAAGAGGGATGTCCATAGGTATCGGGCCTAAACCAGCAATCAGACATCCCCTGAGGGATCCCAGATTGGAGAGTGTGCAGGCCAGATTGAGGGACACCTCTCCCCCCATGTACTAATTTTGTGTACGAAGCCTCTAGGGCAGCCGTGGGCAAACTACGGCCCGTGGGCCGGATCTGGCCCGTTTGGAACGAATAAAACTAAAAAAAAAAAAAAGACCGTACCCTTTTATGTAATGATGTTTACTTTGAATTTATATTAGTTCACACAAACACTCCATCCATGCTTTTGTCCCGGCCCTCCGGTCCAGTTTAAGCACCCATTGTGGCCCTCGAGTCAAAAAGTTTGCCCACCCCTGGGCTAGTATCTCAATAAAAACATATTCTTAAAACAAAGAAGCTTGAATGAACTCCTGAGCGTTTACCCCGCACCAATGCCTGCTGCAAGAACAATATTTCTAATTTCTCCTGCATCCTGTCTGTTCTAAACAGAACTCACATCTATCACCGGCCTGCTTCCCACCACACCATGCCATAGACAGAACGGGAACTATTCTCCCATTTTAAGCTGAAAAACGAAGGCCCAGAAACACCCAGTGAATGACTTGATAGACGCCACATGGCCAACAGCCAGGAGCCCAGGTTTGAGGTCAAATCCTGCACCTGGCAGCCAGGGGATGTCTGGGTCAATTATCCAATATTTTAAAGTGTGGATTTGTCATCCAAAGTGTGGGATACTGATGTTGAACTCACAGGCATGTTGTGGCCAATGGTGTGTATAAAGCAGGCACTGTAATCATGCAGCAAGGGGCTTACGGACAAAGTCAAGACTATAGGTGCACACACCTCACCGGTGAAAAGCCCACAGAACTGACACGCGTATCTAGGACGGTGGACGCATGGTGTTGCCACGAAGTAGAAGATGGTTTTCATAAATGCCAGCAGGAGATACTGTGTGCGATGAGAGGGCACAGAACCCTGCAGGTAGACAAGCAAGGGGCCTGTGGGGGTCGCTGCAGCTCGGTCAGCGGACCCGCACTGGCACGGCCTGTCCCATGCACCACACGAGCCGCCGGAGCCCACCTGCGGAGTGGGTGCCAGGCCTCTGTGGCCGCAGATACCAAGGATCTCTACAGACGGTTCCCCACAGCTGGTGAGTGACTCGCTGACCCAGTGTGTGACGGTGTGGGTCCTTCACTAGAAGGTGCAGACCTCGGTGTGCTGAGGGGTCGGGAGTCCACGGGATCATGGCCGTCCAGTGGTCAGCCAGGACTCACACCGTCGCAATGTTCCTTTGTGATTTAGATGAAACCATCACGCTGGCCGGACGCCGCTGGCCGTGCTTTGCAGCTGTGGCCGTGGAGGCGTGGTGTGTATCAGGGGATGGGCCGGGGCGTGTCTGGAGGGTCAGTTCCGAGGCGCTCATGTAGACCGAGCCCTGGGATAAGCCCACGGCATTGGGACCACAGTTCCTGCGTGGGGGCCGCAGGTCCATGGCGGCTTCTGCTCTGCAAGCCCACAGCCAAGGCTCTCCCACACCATCGGCTCCGCGGTGAGGTCAGACGGTGGCCTAAGGGTTCCGCCAACACACACAGAAATGCCTTTACTGATTGGGACTTGTAGTTGATGCAAAGCAATGAATTTAAAAACATGTTTTTTAATTGATTTTAGAGAGGAAGGGAGAGGGAGAGAGAAACATTGAGGTGAGAAACATCTGGTTGCCTCCCGCAGGTACTCCGGCTGGGGACCCCACCCGAAAGCTGGGCATGTGCCCTGGCAGGGAATCCAGCCAGTGACCATTTAGTGCCCCGGACAACACGCAACCCGCCGAGCCGCCCGGCCAGGGCGAAGCGATACATTTTTATATTATGTTTGTTTCTGGATTCTGAGAAGCTAAAGAGATGTTTTCATTGCAGACGGTTTCCCATCACTGTGGCAGAGACGATGGTTTGTGACGGATCCTGGGGGCATGCGTGACTGGCCAGCTCACACTGACCGGTGTGTCCTCGGCCTCGGGGTGTGCGGGTTCTGTGGCTGCTGGAGGGAGCGTCCACACACCCAGCGGCGTAGACACCACTGTTTATAGGGGCAGTGCTGTCCTTTAGCCCAGGTGTCGGTGGGGCTGGCTCCCCTGGAGACTGGGGGGCGGAGGGCCTGGGCCCTGGCTTCCAGGTGCTGCCCGGCCTTCTGGGCCCTGTGGCTTCTCCTCGCAGCGCGTCTGCCTCCCTCGTGCATGGTCGCCAGGGTAATCCAGGATGACTGTCTCCTGTGAGGGCATGTGGAATGTGAGCCTTTGCCACATCAGGTAACGTAGTCACGATTCTAAGGGTTGGGACGAGGGCACCTCGAAGGCCATTGTTTTGCCGCCACACCCAGAAAAATGACACAGCGCCGCCCGCCAGAGACTGAGAGTCCCACAGGAGCTCTGGGACCCGTTCCTGCTGCCCATGGCAGAGTGGGTGCCCCTCTGATACCCTCCTCAGCCAGGTTAGCAAGCACTGCGGTGCTGAGGCCTGTGTCCAGCTGCTGGACAGCCTGTGACTTCCTGGTGCTGCCCTCTGCGCCGCCCCCCAGAAAAGGCCTCGGAGAGGCTGCTGGTGTAGACGGCGGGGCCCCAGGAGCATCGGTCCTGTGTCTATGTCAACCAAAAGCTCTCAGCAGGTGCACACCTCTCGTCCTACAGACAGATCATCCCGACAAGTAGCATTCCGCGCCTCCACCTCCAAGGAAGAGAGGAGGAGGAGTTGGTAGACGGGAGGGCAGCAGTCGCTGTCGAGGCTCTGGTCACCGGGCAGGTGAGTGGGAACGGCGGCCACGGTCTTCCCCTGGAGGCCATGAGGCGCTGGTAATGCCAGCCGAGGCCGGTGCGGACAGGGCCCAGCCTCTGTGGCAGGGGTGTGGCTAGAACATGGCGTGTAGTAGGTCTGGGACTGGGCCAGTGAGATGGCCCCTGGGAGGAAACCTCAGAAAGCAAAGGGGAGTGTAAAACCAAGTACATTATAAAGTGGAACATCCAAACTACAGCTACAAATGTGCCTGCGTCTGGTTAAAGAAACACACACCAGAAGTTGTGGTAAGGACATCACTGGAATTCTGGGAGCATCGGTGGATTGAAACAGGATGTTAGAGACGATTGCAAATGTTCTTAGTCCTAACATTGGGGCTGCGAGGGTGCAGCACCGTCCTCGTTTCTAGGAGACGCAGGCTGCAGTGGTGAGATGGCATGATGCCTGGAACTCACTGTGAGGCAATTCCAACAACAAATAAATAAAGCACACACTCACACACTCACTGTCACACACACACGCTCCCACTCCCACACTCACACACACACACTCACTGTCACACACACACTCACACTCACACTCACACCCCCCCACACACACATACACTCACCCAAACACACGCATACTCTCACACACATAGTCACACACACTTACTCACACCCCCAACATCCCTACACACATGCACACTCTCATACACACACCCACCCCCCCACACACATACACTCACCCAAACACACGCATACTCTCACACACATAGTCACACTTACTCACACCCCCACACATCCCCACACTCACACTCACACCCACACACACACATACACTCACCCAAACACACGCATACTCTCACACACATAGTCACACACACTTACTCACACCCCCACACATCCCCACACACATGCACACTCTCATACACACACTCACTGTCAGACATGCACTCTGTCACCCCCCCACACTCACACACACTTACACACTCTCACATACACTCTCACACACACACGCACACATTCCCTCACACACACTCAATCGTCTCACACACACACACTCACACACACACACACACACTCCCTCACACACATACTCCCTCACTCACACACACAAACACACTCACACTCACACACTCACTCACACTCACATAAACACCCATTCACACACACACACATACACACACTGTCACACACAGACTTACTCCCACACACACGCACACACTCCCACACACACCATGCAAAAACGGCCCACCATCGAGGAGCCGTTGTGTAGTCCAGGTAGCGGGTGTGCAGGTGGCCGTGGGCTGTGGTGCAGCCCGAGTGTGTGTGAATGTCAGCACGGCAGAGCGAGGGCTGGGCCAAGCCGCGGCATTTCTCCTCTGCAAAGGGCTCTGGGAGGGGCCCACGCGGGTCCCGGTGTCAGATCCTCTGGGGTCAGGAGGGCGGCCTGCCCCGATGTGGAGACATTCCACGCTGCCCAGGGATGGGGGGAAGGGACGCTGCGGTGGCATTGCTCTCCGCGCCTGGTGGCTGCACCTGGCGAGCTCCTGCAGGGTCGCCAGGGCCTCGAGGACACAGAGCCCGGCTGCCGGGAGGCCACAGATGCTGCTCCCGGCCCGCCCGCGGTTTCTCTGTCGAGGGTTTTATCAATGACCTGAAGGTGTAACGGGGCTATGGAATGTGCGGCTGCAAAGCGCGGGGCGGGCGGAGCTGGGAGCTGGGGATGAAGGCCTTCTAGGTGGTGCATGGCTGGACAGAACAGCGTGCTCTGGTGCAGCTGGGGAGGGTCTGGCCCACATCGGGCTCACAGCAGGAGCCAACAGAGCATGCCTACTGCTCAACGAAAACTCACACCTGGCGGATGAGAAGACCCCATGAGGGGAGGCACCGCCGTCTGAGGCCGCGTGCGTCTCTGGGAGTGTTTCCCGAGGCCGGTCCCATCCACTCACTCCAAGGTCACCCACGTGGACATGGCAGGACCAGCCAGCGTTTGAGAGACGCCCCCCAGGTCCCCGCTCTGAAGGGTGCAGGTCAATCCTGATGGGCCTCCCTCCCGCGGAGGAGGCAGCTGTGAACGGAGGAGGGATGCTCCTGTGCTCGGGGGACCTTATCCACTCGACCCAGCAGCGTGGACTCGCTGCCCCGACCGCCCTTCCCACCCACCAGCGTGCTCTCACGCCCCACGGCCGGCCGCCCAGCTGTGGACGGCCGGGTCAGCACCGTGGCCTTTCCAACTCCCAGTCCCCCAGTCCCAGGAAGAAGGTGGCTCCTGGCTCCGGCTCTGGTCAGAGGGGGCGTCGCCACAGCCGGGCCTGGTCCCTGTGTGACCGAGGACCGGACTGCTGTGGCCCTGAGCCTGCCCAGCAGGGCTGCGCAGCGCAGGGAAGGGATGGCACCGCCCTCCGCCGCCGTGTCTTGGTCCCATGGGGAGGGTGCCCAGGAAAGGTGCTGGGCTAACACCCACAAGACCTGCCGGCCCAGCCTGCACCTGACCTCGGGGACGTGCAGCGAGCGCCCCTGAGGTCTGCTTGTTCCCAGCTGCTCCCCAGCTGGTCCTGAGCACGTGGCTCACCGGTGTCTCTGTCACGAGTCCCTGGCACATAGTAGGTGCTTAATAAATAACTGTTGGTTAGACGTTTCTTCCTGCTTTTCCACTGGCAGTGGTTCCTGGCCAGGTAGCAGTCCACAGTGGATGCTGCCTTGGTGACGGCTGCTCACTCCAGGCCCACGGCTGGCACCATGCTCATCCCCTCCAACCCTCACAGTGCCAGGTTGCCAGGGCAACTGCAGGCTCCCAGCTACAGAGGAAGAGGCTCTGAGGGGCGTAGCAGCAAGTCTCCATGGCACCATGAAAGCCGCCTGATAGCGCAGGCCGCGGGCACCTGTCCCCACTGGGGTTTTAGGACTGTGCCCGGACCCCAAGACAGACACGGATTCTGCGTTCTCAGGCTGGGACAGCCTCACGGGGGGCATCCACACTGCTCTTCACAGTGGGGTCAGGTTGCCGCAGAGAGGGTGCGGGGTGGGGTTGGGGAAGGAGAGGGGCTTCCCAGCCGTCAGAATGACATGGGGGACTATGAGGACAGAGGTGCAGCCATTCCCACCCTTCCCGGTGGTGCCCCCGCGGTACGTACAGGCCAGCACTGCTGGGCAGCGGTTCTTGGGCGCGTTCTCCTCCCGCTGGGCCACGAGCGCGCTGTCGGGCTCCGCCTGGTACGCGCACAGCGCCTCCCACTCCCGCTCCAGCCGGTGCTTGTTCCTCAGGTGGTCCTCCATGTAGGCCTGCGACGGGAGCCAGAGTCAGGGGTGCGCCATGGGGCCCACATCCCTGTGTGCACAGTCAGGGCGCAGGCCCCCACCGGGCAAGGCTGCCAGGCGCACGTGCAGACACAGAGCTCGCACTCTTGGCTGGGTCAGAGGGGTCTGTCTATGCAGACTCAGCCCAGGCCGCCGCCCCTCTCTGTCAGGACAGGACCAGGAGAGCCAGGCACAGGGCAGACAGGTCCGGTCACCTACCAGATACTGGACGGAAACCGCACTCAGCCGGGAGGAAGCGAGTGGGGCTCAGGCCTCAGGGAGGCTCCCTGCGCCAGGCTGAAGGGGACGGGGCTTATGCAGGTCAGGAGGGGCAGCTGGGAGCAGGCGTGTCTGCCAGGGGAGCGCAGCGCAGAGGGCGGGGCTCTGGATGTCTGGCTGGGGTGTCGGGAGGTTTGGGAGCAGGGTCTGGGCTGGGAAACAGGAGGATGCTGCCAGTGAAGGGACGTGTACCGCTGCACAAAACAGCTCATGTCCCACGGGGACACCATGTGGAAGGTTAAAAAGCCAGGATTCACCCAACCGCGGACACACTGCAGCCTGGGAAGGTGCCTCAGTAAATGTTTGCAATGAAAGCCACTTTCTTTTTCTCAGAGAACCACTGACTACAAATAGATACGATGTTGCAATATTATTTGAGACTAGAGGTCCAGTGCACGAGATGTGAAATGCGTGCACTGGTGGGGTCCCTAGCGGCTGCCGGCCCCCCGCTCGGGCCTCCCTCACTTCCCCGGCCGGCCCTGCCCCTGGTCGAACAGACAGTTTGCAGACTACGCTTTTATCATAGAGGATTATTCCACTGAGGTCTACAGCGCACTGACTGAAACCATTTCGTGTGTCCCCTTGGAGCCACGCTGAGGCTGCTAGTTCAGAGAGCGCCTCAGGGATGAGGGGGTGGCAGGGACCCCGGGACGTGGCAGCATGCACGGTGGCCAGCGGGCAGGCAGGCGTGTCTCCTGCCACCTGAGCAGACAGATGGCTGTCATTTCATGAAGCTGTGGTTCCCTGGGGCACATGCTAACAATGCACAGAAGGGATGGGGACCCCCGCCCTGACCCCGAGGCCCACGCATTCCCACAGGTGTTAGTGGGCATTTGTCAGTCACGTGTGCTCACTCCAGGGTGGGAGCCAGGGACAGGCTCTCCATGCACAGAAGTCATTTCCCCGGTAATTGGCCTCCTTTGCTGAACCCACTGGGTGTGATGCATCTAAGATACGGAGCTGCTTGCGCGCGTGCAAAATATTAAACAGCGGGTGGTGTTAACAGAAAACAAAAGCAAAACCAGCAGAACCAGAGACTCCGACCACCCTGCTCTGCCACGACCTGATTCTTCTGGGCTCCCAGAGTCCCCAGCAGCCAGGACAGCCGCAGGGCTTGACTCAGTGTCCGAAACGCCGCTTCACCCGCTGTGCGCAGCCGGCTCACTGTGCGCTGCCAGCACCCTCCTGGTTCCCTCACAGGGCAGCCAGCTATCCAGCCCGGGTTCCACCCAGGAGCACCACCCGCAGTGCCTAGATGAGTCCTGGCCTTTGTCCAAATGACCTAGACTCTCTGCCCCAACAAAACCTTCCCCCATTTGGACCCCTCCCCCAATCAGCCCACCCTCTGCACCTTGTTCATGCTGATCCTCCTTAATGAATCTGTCCAAAGGTCAAGGTCAGTGCCAGTGAGCCTCCTCCTCTCGAGCCTGACCAAGACATGCCTGTCACCACCTGTCTGATCTGCCTTACTTACCCCCCACCTCAGGCACTTACTGTTATTTTATTTATTATTATTTTTGTTAACCCTGACCTGAGGAAATTTTTTTATTGATTCTTTTTAGAGACAGTGGATGGGAAGGAGGGAGAGAGAGAGAAACAAAGAGAGAGAGAGAGAGAGAGAGAAACACTGATGTGAAAGAGACACATTGATTGGTTGCCTCCTGCAACACCCTAACCTGGACTGGGGATTGAAACTGCAAGCCAGGTATGTGCGCTTGAGCAGGAATTGAACCTTTGGTCCAATAGGCTACCACTCTAACCACTGAGCACACTAGCCAGGGCCAGATATTTACTGTTTTACTTATTGATTTTAAAAATCTTTATTGTTAGATTATTACACATGTCCCTCTTTTCCCCCCATTATTCCCTTCCATCCAGTTCCCGCCCTGCCTCAA